GCTGAGGAGAGTTTCGAGAACGGAATGTTCTCATCTTAGTGTGGGAGAGTGTAACGGGGTTACATGGTGTGGAGCACACAGGGGTACGAAGTACCCGGAGAGTTAACAAACTCTCAGTACATAAGTTGGAGAGTTAACAAGGTCTCTCAGTACGTTGGCTGAAAGCCACACGTTATGCATTTGATTAGGTTTAACTATGATAGATAGTTAAAGAGATACATTTACCCCTAGGCGGCTTGGCCGCAATAATAGTAAATAAAACACTTCTGGTTTTGAAGCATAAAAGTTAAGCTGTTAACTTTGAGCCCTGGTCTTGGGCTGTAAGTGTCCTTTGGATAAGGAACTTAGTATTAGTGACTCTTTGAGTCGAACGTCTTCCTCTGACGCTAAAGATACGGCAGCCCCGCTGCAGATGCGCTTCCTGTGTGAGTAACACAGTGCCACACGAGGCCTCGAGTGTCTCGGATGTCGGCACCACGACATCCCCAGACGTGGGTACGTCACAATCACCGTCGACGACGATGCCGTCGCCGCCGAGAATCGAATTTGAAACTCGTTCAGATCGTCGTCGCTTCAATCGACTCGGAGTCTCGGACCTTGGCACCTCCGACACTCCCGGTGGAAGAGAATTATCACATGTTCGATGGCGAGATCGAATTACCCGTTAAGGCATCTGGTGACCACTGAGAACTGTTGCCAGAATTTGCAGAGAACAACGCGACGTTGCCGGTCCAGACACCAATCCCACGAAAGAATGGTTGCTGAGCAACATGGCCGGAAGCGTACTGTTCAGTGCGCTGGATTTGGTAGACAGATGATACCAGATTCTGATACGCGAGAGCGACATCCCGCTCACCGCGGTGAGCACCCCAAGCGACATGTTTTGGGAGTGGCTCATCATGCAGCATGGCTTGTCTAACGCCCCGCGACATTCAACCGCTTGGTGACGCAGCTGTTCAGGCCGTTGCGCGCCTTCGTGCAAATATACTTCGACGCCGTCGTCGTCCATAGCCGTGCCGAGGGAAGCAAGACGGCAATGGAGGTGCATTTGAGGCCCGTCCATCGAGCGTTTGACGTGATGCGAGCGATCAAGCTATACGGTAACATCGACAAGTGCGTCTTCGCGTCACCATAGACGAAGGTTCTCGGTTGCTTCGTCGACAACGTTGAACGTTCTACTTGACCCAACCAAGGTTCAGGCCATTGCAGCACGGCCAACGCCCCGATCCCAGAAGGATCTTTAAACGTGGTTAAGTTTGGCCAACTACCTTTACAAGTACGGCCCAGGGTACGGGGGCCTCACTAAACCCTTGTTGGGCCTCCTCCAGAACGACACCGACTGGTGTTGGGGGCAAGAGCACCAGGATGTCTTTGACAGCATCAAGGCCAGCCTCCAAGAGGCTCTGGTTCTGGCCCCGCCGGACGAGACGAGGCCGTTTAGCGTCGTCTGCGATGCCTCCGACTATGCCATCAGCTGTACATTGCTGCAGGCCGACACGGCTGAACTTGAATGAGCCATCTCGTTCCAGCCCTGGCAGCTCAAAGCCGCCGAACGGAGCTACCCTGTCTACGACAAGGAGCTACTTGCAATGCAGTACGCCCTTGTCAAGTTTCAGGTTCAGCTTCTGGGCTCACGACCCTATGTGATCTACACAGACCACGCATCCTTGAGGACGGCGACAAGTTCGCCTCACCTCTCCCAACAGATGACGAGATGGCTGTCCTTCTTCGCGGAGTACAACATCCGCGTTGAGTGCAAACCGGTCAAGCTCATCGTGCTTGTGAACGCCCTCTCTCAGCGTACAGACCACGAGCTGGCCCACATCAAACGGGTGCCAACAAATATATATGATCGGATACGCGTGGCGTATCAGGACGATGAGGTTTTCGCACCTATCGTCAAGTTCCTAGCCGCAGGAACGGACGCAAAGTCCGACTGGCTTTCATCGCGACAGCGTTCCCGGCTCCGCCGATTAAAGTTGAAGGATGGCCTCCTCTATTACCGGGCGGAGCCTAGTAAACCTCCCATGGGTGGTCGTACCCAACAAGGAGGATCTGAAGTTCGACATCCTCGCGGAGGAGCAAGATGCGCACACTTCAGGATATCTCAAAATGTCTTACAGTTTTTCGAATTAAAAACAGAATTATTAAAATTTAAAGGTTTACCTCCAATAGATGTATCAATTCATACAAATGCAAAAAAATAATGAATTATTTTTATTATTAAATTCATTTTTAATAATAAAAACCAGGGTCGTCCGAGGCCAGCCGTTGGCTGATGAAATAGCTTAACATTTGGTAACTTATAGTTTGTATATCTAACTCAAGTTTCGCCTACCTATGAATATATTCAATTTGCATTTACCTTAAATTGGTCACTTCGCTCCCTTAGACAAAAGGGACCTGTAAATTACTATCCACGGAGAATTTGTAATTTCTCGGAAGCCAATGTGTGACCCCGTCACAACTATTGATACTGAACACATTTGTAATACTAAAGTACATCGAACGTAACTTACAATGAGCACACAAACCTGGGTAGCATTAGTCTTATCAATTTCAAGATATGACCTTTAAATACTAATTTGTAGTACTTTTCCCGATCAAAACGAGAGCTGCTTAAATCAAAGTGAGGACACACAAGAGTAGTATTACGACCGTGTACTGATAAAGTCATCTGTTGTAAATGAATGCGATACAATACCATTCGAGCCCACTTAAGAATCGACAGTTTGATTTTCAAGTCACAATATCTTCCAGAATTATTTGTTTGGGTGTACCCTTACCTCAAAATAATTCTGAGATTATTCGGGTTCGCGCTATATAATTTGATGTCAATAAAAGCTGAAATTGTATGCAAAGGCTCAATTTGCGATGCGTTTGCCGTGCGTTTTCCGATTTGGACCAATAACATGTTGCTTTTATTTCTTACGTTTTACCGTTAAGCTCGAAATTCAGATGCCACTTGTCCCGCTCCCATCGACATGACGCGTATTTCATTTCGTTTCCACCGTATTTCGCAGCAGCGGTACGTCCCTACAGCTCGACAACGGCGTCGGTGGAAAGACGACGACACCTTGTGCGATCTTCTCGACTGTATGGCTGTCTTCAAGCGCCATTGATCACATAGGAAGGTAGATCCTGTTGTTCGTGAACGCATTTCATGGCGAGTCGATGCCACCACGCTTTTGAAAGAGTCTGCGTATAAGAAGTACTACAGGATGAGCTTGTCTACTTTCGAGGAATTACTATATGTTGTGGGGCCCTGTTTGGTAGTCGACTGTTACCAGTCGCTACGCCGTTCTCGCGGTGTCCCTCCACTCACGCCAGCTGCAATGCTAGGAGCCATCACCACATCCGTGCCATTACCGGATGTAGTACTACTACATTCTACCGTGCTGTGTATCGTGTGAGGTACGCTATCAACAATACTGACGCTCTAGCGCCTCGATTTCCAAAAACGCTGGATGATATGAAGCGAGTTGCGAGCAAATTTCAGTCTCTCAGCAATCGAGGTGTTATTGAGGATTGCATTGGTGTGATTGACGGGTGGCTTTGCCCAATACGCGTTCTTCGTCAAGATGACTGCGGTCGCGTACTATTGTTTTTCTCCGGACACTATCAGAAATATGGACTGAATATCCAAGCTTGTGCAGACTCTCTTTCTCGATTAACTGCGTTTTCTATCAACTCACCTGGTGGATGAATGATTCGTACGCTTTCCAGCGTTGGCAACTAAGCAATAGTCTACAAGAAGTCTCGGGCAACTACTTCGTCATCGGCGATAATGCTTATGTCCAAAGTAAGCGTGTAATGACTCCTTTTAATAAGACGCAGTTGGTAGACGAGACCGTGACAACTACAATTTTCATATAAGCCAGCTAAGAATTCGTATTGAAATGGCTTTTGGACTTCTGGTGAACAAGTGGAGAATTCTAAAGCAGCCTATTCATGTTCGCCTTCGTCATTGTGGCGTTATTATATCATCATGTATGAGGCTACACAATTTCTGCGTTACCCAGCGTTGTGCATCTTCAGCCAAACCACCTGATCAAGTCGTGGGGGCAATAGTTCGGGAAGTAGGGTCGTGGAATGATCAGGAGCCACTCACATACGATTCGTCGGAAGTTGAGGTAGAAAATGGAAGCCACGTCGATTTGCTGGACGAAAGGGTTCGATCCGAATTAGTCAATCGCATTTCAAGACATAATTTGCATCGTCCCCAGCAAAATTTACTGAGAAATAAAGGCCGTAATAATGCAGCAATGACCACTGCCCAGCAAGTACCGACGGAAGCAGAAATGATCAGTGTTTCATCAGCACCAGGGCCCTCTCAACCGGATCAAGACAATACAAATGATGATGCACGTGGCACAGCTAGTATCTTGCAGTGGCAAGTGGTGTAACAAGATGAGTTCATCAGCGGGTTATTAAGCCGTCGTCAAGCTTTTTCTACTTTGAGTCTGACGTCGTTCCACACGAGAAAGCGGTAACGGTTGCTGCTAACAAAGTAAAATACAAGCCACGTCCAGCGCCTGAGTGTAACCTAGTGAGTCTTTCTCCAGTCGCAGTGTTCGCCAACTACCGACGGTTCAGCCGTGGGGGGCGCTTCAAGATGCGTCTACCATTTTAGGTCTGTGCGCACTCGCTGCCAAGATTTTGTTTTTGTTTTTTTGCCTCCAAGCACTACTTTACCGGGACCATCACTTCGCCCCGCTCCATCAAGCTTCAATCTACAAATCAATTGTCGGCATGTCGTTAGTGACCTTCTCGGAGAGCGCGATACCGGCCGCCTGTGCAGTGTTTCGTGGACGCAGACACAGACAACTCCTCTCGTGGCACGTTGGTGCTGACCGATAGCACTACGTACGCCTATTTCTTGTTCAAGCTAGACAAGAGCATCTCGGCCGACGTAATGTTCAGCGCGGGTATGGTAGGGCTCTGTCCGATCCGTCGTAGCGCGGCCAGATCCTTGTGCTGACGTATTTTCTTATTGGCAGCTACGGCGTACCCGACATCGACGTCAAGGGTTCGTTCAACCTGCCCAAGTCCTTCGAGTCGGGAACAGTACAGATCTCGGGTTTCAGTGTGTCCAAGTACTCGCATGATCCCGAAGCGTGTCTGCCGTGCTGGGCAAGGTCGTGTTCGAGGGCCAAACCACTGAGATCGTGGAGTCCAACAAGGCAAACCTCGTGGCCGAAGTGACCGTCGAGGAAGTGACCGTGTACAACAAGGGCGCGTCTCCCAAGTTCGTATCCTTCCGCTGCGGAATAAAGCACAATATCGTGCCGTACTTGTCCTACATGGAAGTGGAGCTCACGGTCGTGCCCTACGACTGCGACCTGCCCGATAGCGAGCTGCAGTACGAAGGTTTCTCCATCAATAATGATCTGCTTACCCGACTGTAAGACCATTGACAGCATCCGTTGGGCCTTCAACCAAGAGAACATATAGTCTATATTCGGTATGTATCTGGGTAACCAGAACCGAGCTCTGGTCGCCGGTGTCACCACAGACAAGTTGAAGTACGGCTATTGCGGTATGAACAAGTCCTGCATCGACATTCGCTCTACACGCTGCTGCGTCACGCCGCAGAACCCCGAATACTCTTTGAACTCGAGCACTCTGTCTGAGGGCTAGAGGACCCTCTCAATTAGCGCCAACGACAAGTCAAACAAGGTTAATATCCACGAACACAAGTCGTTCTTCTCGGCGCAGTTCCACCTGGAGGCATGTGGTGCCCCCACGAACACGGGCTTTCTCTTCGGCCTGCTCTTGAAAATGTCAACAGCGCTCCAACTATGCGCACATTCATGGACACGACCGCCCAGCGCTTCGTTCTGTGGTCTGTCGATCGGTCAGGCTGGTGAGCTCGACTAGTCTAGCCAGGCTATTGTTGCTGTGCGTGAGGAAGGCGTTCACGTCGTACATCGCCACGGAGCAGCCATCTCAGGTTCTGGTCGACAACATACACTTTAGCGCGTGCCGAGGCAATGCTGGAGAGCGTCACGAAGGGGTAGCTGGTTGGAGTCCTGGTGAGTGTGGGTGACCAGACGGCCCTGTCCGTCGATATCGAGCTGTACCTGAACGGCGACATGGAACGTCACAGCGTCCGCGTCATGGGCACGTTGTTCGCAGCGGCTGAGTTGCTGTCCCCGATGAACTACCTGCACATGACCTACGGCGACTTGGAGGACGAAATCCCGACGAGCGAGGAGGCCATCGTGGTGCTCGGCAGTGGCACACACCGCAACGTTTCGTTTGTGAAAATAGATTGGTGTGTCGTGAGTGCTGTGCGTACGGGGGAAAACCGGCGATCGTGGTCAACTGCTTGAGATGGAGAAAGCGGCCTGGTACAGAACTCGCCGCACTGACCAGGAAAAGACAGTGATGCAGGTTTTAACGATGACACTAGGAGTAACGAGGAGGTTGAGCTGGACAACTCGGATTAGAAGGAAGCGACTCTATCCCATGAGAATGACCAGCAGCGTGATAAGGCTGCGTGGACCGTGCTAATGTGATTAACCTACTGGATGAATGCAACCACGTCGAGTGAATTCTATAACTAACAATGCGCGTACGATAGCTGTCTGCAGCGTGAATCTACACCGACATATACAGCGCATAAGGCAGTTGTAAACGCGATCAGTTTTATCAAAAGGCACATCCTGAAACACATTTTTCGTTTCATGGACTATTATCACCAAGCAGATCTGACGGCGCTGTTGCTTCTTGCTGTTAGCCATGACGTGAGCGAACACTGTCCATGATCCGCTGTCGCTCCTCCAGAAAGAATTCCAAATTTCCTTGCAACCGTAGCTTTATAGGACTGGCAACGGAGTTCATTTCGCACTCAAGCGCACTAATGTGCTTACGAATGTCGTCGAGCATTTTATGCTGCTCGCCGCGTACTCGCATCGAAGCTTCTTGCTCTTGCTCCCTTCCAAGAGCGACCTCAGCTTCCCGCTCCGCTGCAATTCTTCCAACAAGCGTAACGAGAGCATCCATAGCTTCAGCTTCAGATTTTTGCTTCTTGTTCGGTGTGGTTTTGGTGGGTGAGCGCACATTGCGTTTTCGGCTGCTACCGCGCTGACTTGGCGTGGCACGACGCTCCCGCATTGGGGTGGGTACGGAAGCGGAGAGCGAATCAAACGCATCCTCCTCGTACATACCACCACGAACGCAGCTCAGTGCTTCCGGTCGAACCTACAGTAAATTTACAAATCGCTTATGTTATACAAGGTATGACAGCAAACAAACTAAAGCCCAAATTTCTACCTTGGTCCAGCACCAAAATTAAGCACATCCGCTTTGCCATGCGTAAAATTTCTGATCGTGGGTCCCGGATAGACGAAAATTGGCTTCGGAGATACTGAAGAAGGACGTCAGCTCCTTCCAAAGTTCTTCCAACTTTGCGGCATTATGCGGTACAATGGTTCCCGGGGTGATTCCCACGAATTCGACGTCGTCAGCGATCAGTCCACTATATTCCTCGTCATTCTCTTTGTACGCTGTTTCAACATCGCGCCAGAAAAGAGCTTTCTCAGAAAACTGGGGGTCGTCTAAATCAGCTCGACAAAGTTCTTTCCTACGAATACAACAAAATAGTCAATTGCATGGCAAATATATCCAACATGATTCATACCAGTAATTTCAGCAAGTCTTGTCACCATATCCTTGGACAGCACGACATTCGCTAAGCGGAACATGCAGTGCTTGGTACGACGGGTGTTGCCAGAAGCCATTGTCGATGCAGATGTAGGATCTTCGCCCCTGTTTACCAGCTCATCATACCGGCGGAGACACTTTATGCGATCGGCCTTATTTGTCCGCGTGTTGAGCTTGATCTCTCGTATGGTGCATTCCTTGCGAATGAGATCCTGTGGCATTCTCGTACGGCTCCCACGCAAAACGCCCTTCAGTTCGTGAGCCACTTAGAATGGTAGGGACAGTATCAATTCTTTCTGCATCTCTCGCCCTTATTTGTGCTGCGTCGGAATCTCTTGAAGCTGAACAAAGGCATCGGACTCAGCGTTTTCCATAACGTAATTAGTGCGGTTACCGTGAATTGTGACAGCGACCACCCCATTGGTTGGTAATGCTGTAATTGAAGGTGCCACCGTAGCAAGCTCCGCCTCGAGACGGCGAGCCACTGGGACTTCTCTGTGACGGGGTCACACAGCACCTTGCGCTAGAGGAAGTTATCTTCCTAGAGTATACAAACTCTCAGTGAACGACAGTTCACAGGTCCCCTCTTTATTTAAAGAGAGCGAAGTGACCTAAACAAGGTAGATTGTAAACTGAGTATATTTATAGGTAGGTTAATCTGAGTTTAATACAGCCTATAAGCTACCTATAGAAATGCAATGTCGTTTGACCTATGGTTGGCTTTGAGCGACCTTGGTACCTTGTACCGAATATCCCGGAGTAGGACGTGTCATACACCTGAAGTGTGAAGTGTCACACTTCATGTAACCAAGGTACACTTAGGGCCGCGTACCCCGTTACATCCTCCCCCACTTGGGTTCGGTTTACCGACCAATCAGAATGAAGAGGTGTTCGTCACAAACTCTCATTCTCAAAGTCGAAAACCATCCACTTGGCCGCGCGAGCGCGGCGGAGGCTCACTTATCAGTTAGAGCCTCGACCAGCAATCTGTGCGCTCTTCGTCTAGGTCTCTACTTCGACCGTTACTATGCCTCGTGGCACAGCAAAGAGCGGTGCTAAGACACGCTCCAAGGCTGCGGCCGGTAAAGCGCAAGCCAAGAGCACTAAGCCTCACGGCAAAGGCTCGGAGCTTAAGGAGGCTACTCAGGTGGCCTCCGAGGCGATCGGTTCCTCGGGTGACGCGGCTGTGGGCAAGCGAACAAGCAAGCGCCGCAGTCCGTCGCCCTCGGCCTCAGACAATCATCCGAGCCCTCGGTTCGGGAACGTGAGCTCAACTCTGGCAGTGTGGATGAAGCCGAGTCCGAGAGCACGCACACTGCTCCTGCGGGCTCTGTGGGAGGGTACAGCCTAGTGCTCAGTGAGCACAAGGATGACAGCGTGCAGTCACTCGCTAGTGATCAAGGTGATCACAGTCCCGGAACGTCTGTGCGCTCTGAGAGTCCGGCCGTCAAGGCTAAGGTCTCCCAAAGCCAGTGGCGATGAGGAAGGGAATCCTCGCAAACGTCTCTCGCTTGCCGAGGGTCTTGCGCGTGCATACGCCTCTAAGGCTGAAGGCGCCAAGCCCTTAAAGAAGCGTACAGCCTCTAAGTCTCCACTCCGCGAGGAGAAGGCGACTCAACACTCCTATCAGAGTATCTTCGACTCCTCGGATCGGATGAAGAGGAGGAGAAGGAGGAAGAGGAGGAAGAGGAGGGTGCTATCGTTGAGCCTCGGGGGGTCTCGAAAAACCTCCACCAGCCGCAGGAGGATTTCCAAGCTGTCAGCGTGTGCGTGGGGGTTCGGCGGCGGCACCCGTCAGCCAGGGAGCTGCCATCAACTCAAGAGGGTATTGGCCTTCCGAGGAGAGCTCTGGGGCTGACCTCTTCTTAGAGGTTCTCGTCGCTCCTCGTAGCCTTGTGGGCGGCCACACTTCTAGGGGCATCTACGAGCGTGCCCTTGTTCAGAAAGAACAGTTGTTCGTTGACAACATGGAGGCTGGTCGGGGTGTGCTTCTCGCGCCACACCGCATCCCTCTCAAGGACTCAACGATTTGTCGTAAGAAGCCCGAGACCCGGGGTGGTCTCAACCCTCTTTGGGGATACCCCTGGGTTATGCCCGAGAGCTGTCCCACGTGGAGTACTCGTGAGGACATGTTCTGGGCATGGGTGGAGTCTCTTAAGTACTCACCCACGGAGTTATAGGAACTCCATGAAGATCAGCAGCTGTCCCACATCCTGGATCAGCGTGATCTTCGTGTGAGGTTTGCTCACTTGATCAGCAAGCGTATGCTGCCAAGGGACATCTTGAAGCGCGCGGCTTCTAGCGCTCACGATGAGCGCGGGTACGGTATGTATTCGTCGTCCGTACCCCGTTCGGGCAAGAAGCCCCGGACTACTTATGAAGCTGCCGCCGCTTCTGTTCCCAGATTGCGACAGCCTTCGGGCAGTCAATCAGGAGCCGTTCAATTGGCTCCCACGAGCTCTCGGAGTGGGCATAACCCCTTCAATTCACGAGAAGCTGTCGCTTACCGCGACGCCGTTGCTCCTGGCGGGTCCGCTCCACGTGGAAATGGACTTCTCCATTCCGGTCAAGCAGCGGCGGAGGTGCCCTCGTACGCGTACGCGTACTCGGCGCCTCCCGAAAGCCACTCTCGTCCGAGTGCTCCGACTGAGGGTCCGACACAGGGCCCTGAGGTTGACCGCCTCCGTCAACGTGTCCTCGTGCTTGAAATTACACTTGACCTTGGGACTTGCGGTGATGCTGCCGCCCAGACCGGGAGTCAGGGCAAGCTCGCTCGTCTTGCGGGCCGCCTGGACCTGTTGGAGCGAGAGGTCGCGAGCCTGCACCTGCGGGTGGATCGCCGGGCCGCTTCGTCCGATCTGGACGAGGCCTTTCGCATGATCCGACGGATCGTTGC